GGACATGGGCTACAACTGTCGCATCCTTGTGTCAAGCACGCCTGAACCAGAGACAACATCAGAAGCATCTTACCTGGGCTAAGTCCTCTTTTCGGACTTTTAATTTGGAAATCATGGTCCCAGACTCTGGAGGAAGAGTGGAGAGGCACAGAATCTAAGTTGAATGAGGTCCAGTGTAAAGTTTCCACACTCAGTGATGATTTGGGAGCCATGTTATCTGCTGGTGTTGGTCCACTGTGTTTTATCAAGTCCAAAGTAGGTCTACCCTCTACCAGGAAATTCTAGAGCATTTCCATGATGCACCGCATTGATGCAGTAATTCATGCAAAAGGAACCCCAACCAAGTATTGAGTGTATACTATACTATATATGGACACAATTTTCAGTAAGCCAACATTTCTGCATTAAAAATCCTTTTTGTTTTATAGGTCTTTTGTAATATTCTAAATTTCTGAGTTACTGAAATTTGGGTTTTCACTAGCTGTAAGCCATAATCATCAAAATTAAAAGAAAGAAATGATTGAAACATATTACTCTGTGTGTAATGAATCTATATAATCAATGAGTTTCACTTTTTGACTTAAATTACTGAAATAAATGACCTTTTTGATGATATTCTAATTTATTGAGATGCACTTGTTTGTGGAAAAAATAAACAAAGTGCCCTGGTAGAAAAGTGGTTAAAGTGTAAGTGCAAAACATATTTATTTATGTTTGTATTTATTTATTTATAGTTTTGGATAGAGTGGGAACGGGTTAGTCCCTTTGTTAAATTTCAGCTTTATTTGTGCTGGTGGCCATCTTCACTGAGACATAAAGTGAGGAAAAATCCCACATTTTGCAGAGTTAGAGATGAGGGTTAATTATCCAACTGGGACAAATGTTCTAGTGACAACTATATAAAATAGGAACTATTCTCACTTTGGGGAGATTGCTTCTTATGTCCTTATGTGTCTCCAGGATAGGGATTGAAGGAAACCTCCACTGTGGTACTGTGGCACAGAGTGAACAGAAAATAAACTGTTGCAATGTCATATTTTAGATTTCTATCCTGATTGGTTACCATTAAATTGCACATATTTACCATTTCCTATGGCTAACTGCTTTCATTTTGCTCCTGTAAATGTTTACAGCCCAACGCCGGGAACCTGACAAATTCTCCCTTACAGAATGGGTTTGCCTGGCAGAATTACTTTCCCAGTCCTCAACTCCTCTGCACTGCTAGACTGTTCCTGCCAGCATCATCCCCTCATTCTCCAGCAGTCTAAGGTCCTGAAATCATCAAGACCAATGCAGAGTCCACAGCTCTTCACTGGATGTGAGGATGCAGAGAGACAGTTCAATGCCAGAGCATGAAGAAGCATTATCTCTTGGGGGAGTGGAGGATAGTGCTGAAGTATAACTAAAGTTAAAACTTTTTTTTAATGTTTTGGATAGAATGGAGAGGGATTAGAATACCTTTCAGTTTTTTTGTTGGCTGTCTGTGCCCCTGTTGGGGAAAATTCACTCTCACTAATTGGCATGTTTATCATCACCAAAAGAGTAAAGGAAAATCCCAAATTTTGGGTTGTTCCCAGGACACCAATGGAAGGCAACATTTCCAATGGGAACAATAGGTCTGGTGACCCTGGTGAGAGCCAGGGATTTCCTCACTTTGGAGGGCTTTCCTCTCCTTCCCTGTTTTGGCTATGGGACACAAAGTAAAGGGTAATCTCACCAATAGGAAACAGATGGCAAAAAATGACAGGGCTTATAACCCTATCCCCCTTATTCTATCCAAAATGAAAAAAAAAAAATTATCTTTAGTTCTACTTATAATAAAAGAGCTTTTACTCTTAGCCCTGGTTCACATCGGTGCAACTTGTTATGCGACTTTACAGATTTTGAAAGTAGTTCCTGCACTATTTTTTGAGATTTCAGGTGTGGCTTGCATAGACATGAACCTGAAGTTGCACTGACATGCGACTTTGAAATCATAAGTTGTACTAATTTTTCTACAGCCATCAAAGTTCAGATTCTATTCAGGTTCACTCAGCTCTGAAAAGAAGAGGGCAGGGATCTGAAGTTACATCAGTGAGGGCAGCTCTGAGAGCTGATTGGAGGAAAGGGACACCCACACACAGCACATAGGAACAGAGCCGAGGCAGTCATTCACAGGCTGTGCCCTCCCCTCTCACCATTGTGCTCTTGGTGTCAGGAAAAACGCATCAGAAATGACATGCTGATAGCAGAAGAACAATGCAGCAGAAAGAAATGATACTTATTGCTGTGGATTGAGACAAGCTTGCATGACAGAGGGATATGCTTTGTTCATGTCAGAGGTATACAGGTTTAGGAGCACTTTAAGGCATTTATCTCTAGTTGCTGTAATACTAGTACACAGGGATTTTCTTCTCAGAAAATAGGTTCAGCAACTCCCCCTTCTGAGTCACTTCTTGTCTCCACCCCTACCCACATTCCGGTACCGCCACTTCTAGAGCATATAGAGCCAAGTATCATTTTGTGGTGCTAAGTAATTTGTATGGAGTTTGTTAATGATAACAAGAAAAGCAGTAAATTATATCCAGCAACACAAGGCCCTCCCCAGCAACAATAGACCCCTCAGCAACAATGGACTCCAGCAACAATAGACTCCTAGCAGCAACACCAGATCTCCCAGCAGCTAGCATCAATAGACCCCTCCCTCAACAATGTAGATCCCCTTTTGCAACAATTGACCCCCCAACAATATAGGCCCCCCCAGCAACAACAGACCCCCAACAACAATAAACCTCCCCAGCAACAATAGACTGCCATGCAAAAAATAACCCTGCAGCAACAATAGATCCTCCAGCAGGGACCAATAGACCCTCCAGCATTAGCAACCCTTCTCATTATGTACATTCAGTGCGTTCCCCCTGTTCCTGCTGAAAAAAAAAAGCCCTGCTAGTATACACAAATCTGTCAACAATGTGAACACTCTACAGTGAAAACCAAATATAGTGAATAAAGAGGTGAAAAATGTTAATTCCCAATTAACCAATGGAAGGCAACATTTCCAGATTTTTGGAACAATAAAGTCGGTGACCATTTTTTTTGCAGAGCCAGGGATTTTTTTTTTTACTTTGGAGGGCTGTAATTCCCTTTTTGGAAATGGGACAATCAAAGTTCCGAAAGGAGTAATAGTCAAACAATCCACGGGTAAACAGATTTGAAACACAAAATAATAAGGGCTTATAACCCTAATCCCCCTTATTCTATCCAAAATGAAAAAAAAAAAAATCTTTAGTTCTACTTATAATAAAAGAGCTTTTACTCTTAGCCCTGGTTCACATCGGTGCAACTTGTTATGCGACTTTACAGATTTTGAAAGTAGTTCCTGCACTATTTTTTGAGATTTCAGGTGTGGCTTGCATAGACATGAACCTGAAGTTGCACTGACATGCGACTTTGAAATCATAAGTTGTACTAATTTTTCTACAGCCATCAAAGTTCAGATTCTATTCAGGTTCACTCAGCTCTGAAAAGAAGAGGGCAGGGATCTGAAGTTACATCAGTGAGGGCAGCTCTGAGAGCTGATTGGAGGAAAGGGACACCCACACACAGCACATAGGAACAGAGCCGAGGCAGTCATTCACAGGCTGTGCCCTCCCCTCTCACCATTGTGCTCTTGGTGTTCAGGAAAACGCATCAGAAAATGACATGCTGATAGCAGAAGAACAATGCAGCAGAAAGAAATGATACTTATTGCTGTGGATTGAGACAAGCTTGCATGACAGAGGGATATGCTTTGTTCATGTCAGAGGTATACAGGTTTAGAGCACTTTAAGGCATTTATCTCTAGTTGCTGTAATACTAGTACACAGGGATTTTCTTCTCAGAAAATAGGTTCAGCAACTCCCCCTTCTGAGTCACTTCTTGTCTCCACCCCTACCCACATTCCGGTACCGCCACTTCTAGAGCATATAGAGCCAAGTATCATTTTGTGGTGCTAAGTAATTTGTATGGAGTTTGTTAATGATAACAAGAAAAGCAGTAAATTATATCCAGCAACACAAGGCCCTCCCCAGCAACAATAGACCCCTCAGCAACAATGGACTCCAGCAACAATAGACTCCTAGCAGCAACACCAGATCTCCCAGCAGCTAGCATCAATAGACCCCTCCCTCAACAGTAGATCCCCTTTTGCAACAATTGACCCCCCAACAATATAGGCCCCCCAGCAACAACAGACCCCCAACAACAATAAACCTCCCCAGCAACAATAGACTGCCATGCAAAAATGAATGCCCTGCAGCAACAATAGATCCTCCAGCAGGCAGCACCAATAGACCCTCCAGCACACCCAGCAACCCTTCTCATTATGTACATTCAGTGCGTTCCTCCGTGTTCCTGCTGAAAAAAAGCCCTGCTAGTATACACAAATCTGTCAACAATGTGAACCACTCTACAAGTGAAACCAAATATAGTGAATAAAGAGGTGAAAAATGTTAATTAATAAAACCAACAAATAGTTCATAAAAATTTTTGGATGCGTTTCAATGATGACACACAGATGCAGTGTTTTTTCTTTAGTGCCAAAACTTCATTGTTATTACCACTGCGCACATTCACTGCTTACAGGCAACATAGACCCCTAGGTTAAGGAGGTCTTACTGCCATTTAATTTTATCAAGATACTTCTAACAGTAATCCGGACACAGCCTTTGCTGCTCCAAATCTCAGCCCAATTTCATCAAATATTATCCATGAAGGAAAGAACAAAAGGACTTCATAGTATAGCATAGTGTAGGGCTTTATTGTTGATGTTGGCAAAACGGCAGAAGTCTCTGGTCTAAGAGGTGTGTCCAGAAAGTAATGAGAATGAAATTAAAAAAAATTGTTTTATTAACCACTTCCCGTCCGGCCGTTGTATATAAACGGCTGGACAGTGGCAGTGCAGGGTCAGGTGGGCGTTTATAAATGGCCTCCCCGCACCCTGCTTGTGCGCGCTCCCTGGGAGCGCACAGCACTGCGATACAGTGCTCACTGTGTCCTCCAGACACACTGAAACACCGATCGTCAGACGGGACCTCTATGCGAGGTCCCGATCATGTGATCATTGATTGGCCAGTCAGTGATCACATGCAGAGTAGTAAGCAATATGTCACTTCTGACACCATTGCTTACTACGTGTGAAATCTGTGAATGATCACAGAGGTCACATGGTACAAGGCCATTCACAACAGCCTTGTACCATGTGACAAGTTGTGACCAATCACAGCTCACACAGTAGTTCTCAATGGCTGCAAGAATGCAGCTAGAGAGAAAGAGAAATGATTGCTTTTACAGCCTTTAGGGGTGAAAAAAAAAAAATCTTCATCACCCCCCACAAGTAGTACAGTGAAATCATAGTGACACTGTACTGCTAGAGTGACAGTATGTTAAAAAAAAACCCCATAAATAATAATATAAAAAAATAAAACAAAATGTAAAAAAAAAATTAAAAATTATAATTTTTGGTTATAAACTAATTTGGGTTATTGTTTTTTTGTACTAAAAAGATAATGGAATACATTTTGGCAAAGATTTATGATGAAATACTATTTATTTGCAAAATTGTATAAGAAAAACACTTTTTTTAAAAATTTTTGGACTTTTTCATTTACATAGCAAAAAAAAAAAATCCCAGTGGTGAATAAATACCACCAAAATAAAGCTTTATATGTCTCATAAAAAATGCTAAAAAATTCATATGGGTACAGTGTTGCATGACCGTGCAATTGTCATTCAAAGTGTGATAGCACTGAAAGCTGAAAATTGGCCTGGACAGGAAGTTACCCCCTTCCTGTCCAGGCCAATTTTCAGCTGTGTCCGGACTGGAAGTGGTTAAAAATTTTTTTACAATTGAACATTGTCTCCTTCAAAGTATGCACCTTGTGAGTGTACACAACATTCCCAGAATTTTTAATTCTTTATAACATGCCTGGAAGTCTTCAAGTAAGATGGCATTCAGAGCCTGCATAGTGGCTCTCTGGAAGTTATCCATACTACCAAAATGGTGTCCTTTCAAACCCCTTTTCATCTTTGAGAATATCAAAAAGTCGCATGGAGCCAAGTTGGGGCTGTAGGGAGGATGGGGAAGAACTGTGATGTGTTTTTTCAGCCAAAGACTCTCTGACAGCAAAAACATTGTGCATTGTCGTGATGAAGGATCCAAGTTGAGCCGATCTCAGGACGCACGTGAAAAACTCTTTGTCTCAAGTGACCAAGAACTTCTCAGAATGACCAGTAGGTACTGTGACGATCGCACGTCAGACCCCTGACCTTCTCACCAAACTCGTGACCGAAGGACTAGCCAATCTGAAACCGCGATGTCACGTGCGTAACAATGCCATGCCCAGCTGCACCCTGCACAATGATTTTCCAGTTCACTGGACCTCAAATCGATGCAGCCTGAATGCGATTGTTACTGGGTCAGGTTAATTATGCAATTAACCCTTCACACTGCCACCACCTCCTTTTTGTACAGAGAAAGAGGAAACTCGGCAATATCAGCTATAACACTGTGATGGTTGAGATAATCATCTGTATACCACGGTCACCACAGATAAGTTATACAGAGGGTTAAACAAACATAGTAGCGCTCTTTTAGAGGCAGGAATTCGTAAGTTGCAATAAAGAGCTATAGAAACAGTTCAAACACTTTCAGAAAGAAAGATTTATTGCTAAAAGGTCAAAAGGGTTCAATAAAAATATCTACAGAGAAAAGATGTAACCAATATATATATAAATATACAGAGAACAACAGCACAGCAAAGAGGTAACAGAAAGGAGGTTAAAGGGTTAAAGTACTTGCCAATCAGCCATGGGTTAAGCAGATCAAGTTTCAGAATGAAAGCGCACGATCTCCCACGGTGGTTCTGATGTTAAAAGGGAAAATTTTCAACTTACTCTCTTAGGCCTGACAGCCCATTTTGTTGTCCCCCAGCAGGGGGTGTCTCTAAAGCCAAGGACCAATGCTTCATTTAGGGAGGGAAGGTCTGGGCGTAGACCTAAACTAGAGCCAAAATCTCTCATAGTTCATATTTTGGCTCATAACTTTTCCTATGCACAAGTGACATTCCACTATGCAGACGCATCTGAGGAACGGTTAGATATGAAATATGAAATACATACTCGAAGGGTTCCAGAGATGTAATTTTCTGCTGTCCTAGGTATTCCAGTCAGGGAGTGTGACCTATCAAACTGGTTGTCTTCTCGTGGCCAATCTGAAGATATACCTGTTTTTTATGTAAGTCTCTCATATTCTAAGATATGAGACATAGGGGAAAAATGGATTTTAAAAGTGTTATCTAGTCTCTACTCCTCTGGAATGTGTTTGAACTCAGGGGAAGGCTTGGGTTATCTTTTTACGAGATGCCAGATTACTCAGCTTCCCAGCCCGCCTGGCACCCAGCTTAAAGATGGTTTATAGCTCGGTGCTCCCTGATGTGGCCTGACCAGCCTGTGACACTTCCAACACACACACACACACACACAACCAGATGTCACTGTGACTCTCAGAGAGGGAGAGGGAAAATGAGGGGGAATATGTTTGAACAAGATGGTTGACCCTTTGCCAAGATGGAGGTTGGAGCCAAAATGGTTGAACCACGTCCATCTCTGGGTGTATGCTTGCTACAGGTACAAATTCTTTATGGACAATTCCACGTGAATCAAAAAAAGCAGTGACCATTGATTTGACTTTTTATTTTCTCATTCGAGCTTGCTTGGGGCAAGGCGGTGTGTGGGAGTGTGCCATTCTGAACTCTTGTCGGGATCGCACTCAAACACCCAGGATTCATATTCTGTGATCACTCAACTCAAAAAATGAGGCTCTCTCTCCAAATGGGCCAACAGGTCTTGGCAAACGTGTTGATGTTGTTCCTTCTGATCAGGTGACAAGTTCTTTGGAACAAGTTTTGCACACACCTTTCTCATGGGTGAATCCTGAGTCCCGATTTCATGAACAATTGCCTTGGTAATTCCTGTTTCCTCTGCAACCATTCTGATAGTGAGCCATTGGTCACAATTGAGAACAGACCTCACTGCATCTACATTGTGTTCTGTTTTTTACGAAGAGGAGCGCCCTGATCATTGTTTGTCTTCAAGACCTTGTCCTCCTTCCTTGAAGGCTTAAAATCACATAAAATTTTATTGCGTATCGCTATTCTAAACTCACTTGAATTTTCTTAATATGAGGCACTCGAACAGGGTGTCACAAAAAAGAATGTCTCGACTCTGACAGGGCTGGAATGCAACTGATTAGTGTTCTAACATATAGCTGACACCCCACCCAAAGTGACCTTGGCCATCTTCTCCCTTCACAGAGCCCTTCTCGAACATAGGAACTTCATTCTCATTATATTCTGAACTCACCTCATATACAAAGAAATTTCTCTCCAGTCAAGGTTCTTTGAAATCCAGCAAGAGATCATGATCTGTGTTAAGAAATTGATACCAGAAGTGTTTCCTTTTCAATGCCTATTTTCTTCTTAGAATATTTGAGAAGTAAAGGGGTGAGAACGAGAACATTGGCTGTTATATGGCCTCATTATCAGTACTTACTTGCAAAAACCTAAACTGAATGGCTTATTTTTTTTCCTGGATGATCAGGGTCTTATGTATTAAACATGTTCTGAAACAATCCATGATGCCTGCAATCTGTACTGAACCAGAAGAAAATGGGTTCCATGTGTCATCTGGGAATATAAAGCTGTTTTCTAGCCAAGTAACCATGTATAAAAGTACATAAATAATGACAAATATGTTTCTAAAATCAATATTCATAAACACAGATACAAATAAAAAGCAACTCAGACCATGATCTGCCATAGCTTTGCAATCTGAATATACAATACAATTATCAATTATAGCAATTATATAACTTTTGATTGTTATTAGCTTCAGTTTGATGTGAGAAGTGAACACAGGTGAATATATTGGATATATTGGATTCACCCAGTTGTGTTGCTGTAAGGCACATTCTGCATGTTGGTACGTTGTGGTGTCATTCATTTTGAATGGCACCCCAGTGCATGGCACCACACAGTGGCAAGCTGCAGTCTGCTGTGGTAAACTGAATCAGAAAAAAAGGTACAGATCATTTTTTCTGTTCACTCTGGTGACTTGGCATTAACGTACATTAATGTAGCAGAAATGGACACATAGTTGTGATTTCAAGTGGCATTTAGAACTGAACTTGCTTACAGGTGAATAAACACACTGTCCAGTAACAAATGATTGAAACTAACTATAGAACGCTGACAGGGGAGCTTATAACAGTTTCATTTAATTTCCATGGTAAAATCTTCTTTAAAAAAAATGATGCTGCAACTGCTCAAATGCTGGCAGTGTTATAGCATCACTGTCACTTTAAATGGACGGCTTGAGCAACATAAAAATACAGAAAATGATATGCACATGTAAAAAAAAGAATTCAAGTATAACTAAAGGCAAATCTTTTTTAAGCTTTGGATAGAGTGGAGAGAGATTAGAATTCCAAATTTTGGGTTGTCACAAGAACAGGAATAAAAGGGAAATCTTCCAGTGGGGATACCCATTCTGGCAACTCTGGTGACATCCAGGAATTCCATCACTTTGGAGAGATTTGCTCTCATTACTTATTTTGGCTATGGAAAAGGAAGTGAAGGGAAACCTCCCCAATGGGACACAGATGGCAAAAAAGAAAGGCAAAATGAAGGTGGTTTGGGGCGTTTTTATAGTGCAATGGGCTTTAAATGGTTTCTGAGGGTTACAAAACCTTTTTCCAGCAATGTAGGTGTTTTCTTGTGGTAACAAAAAATGACACTTCATAAGCCAAGCACTCTAAGTAATGAAAAAAAGTTTTGCCTATGTAGCTTAAAGTAGAACTATCATCATTACTTTTTTAATTTTGGATAGCTTAAATGAAGGTTATTAACCCTGTCAGATTTTTGTTTGTTATCTGTGTCATTTTAGGGAGATTTACCTTCACTTCCTGTCATATAGCCAAAACACAAAGTGAGATGAAATCCGTACAAATTAAGGGAATCCACTGGAAGATTTACTCTCTATTACTTTGGGATAACCCAAAATTTGGGATTTTTTTTTTTTTTTTTCACTTTCACTGATAATGATATACAGGAAACATAGGGAGGATGACTCCCTAACT